GCTGTTTTTGTCTTTGAGGTGCAGCTGGCTCATTTTTTTTTCCATTATAAATGGAGGAGCAGATCCACTTTTCCTCCATTTATAATGCAAGTATTGGATTTCCAAAACTTGTATCAGAGCATATCCACCACAGGAGCTAAACCAGGTTATTATCCTGTGTGTTGCAACCCAAACCCAAAAAATACCACCCACCTGGGGTGCTCAACCAGGTTACCTCTGGAGGTAAAAATCCATGTTGAGTTACCACATGTAGCCACTCTCTAGCAACTTGATACCACCTGTGAAAGACAAAAATGGTGCTTTTTTCTTGTGAACTCTTCAACAAAATCTCAATTCTTTGCACTCCTTCCCCCAATTCATCTAAAAAAATATCACTCAACAACATCCACCTTGCTACATAGTTTCAATTTGTAATGAATCCAAATCATTGATCCACCACTTGTGTGTAACACTTCAAGAAAAAATTGTGCACATTCTAGCAGTTGAAATGTGATACTGAAAGGTGCCTTTGTAAAATTGTATGTCAACTGCTAACTGCTAACAGTTGCACAACTTTTTCTTGCAGTGCAATTCAATTCAATTTCTTAGGTTCACCTTTCCATTGTGATCTGCAACACTTTTTTCTATCTACATATTCAACAATCTTAACAAAACCTCAGTGAGAATTTGCTGGCAAGAGCGAGGTACAAAGTGCATGTACTGCGGCTCATTGATTAAACGTTGAAGCCTGTGTGAGATTTTGGAGGCTGTTTTTTGTTTTTTCTCACTTGATCTTTTTACTCATGATGGCTCTTAGATGGAGGTAACCTGGAACTGTGCAAGATGGAAACGCATCTTTTTGTCTCTTCAGAGTTTACTCCAGAATTTTACATAATTTTTGGGGGATTTTTGAAGTCAGAGAAGATTTCTTTGTATCTCTTTTTTATGCATTCTTTTTCATTCTTCTTTTTTACAATCTATCATTAATTTACATTTGAAAGTTGAAAATATAATGCAAAACTGAAAACAGTCTGAGTCAGTTGATCTTTCTGACCAATCAATCAGGAGTAAAAAAGGGAATTAACTGGAATGCTGACCCACTATGTATATATATAGGCTCCACAATCCATTCAATGCACAGTTAGAATTTTGAAGGATAAGTTGTTTGAGTTGGGAATTGTAGGAGAGAGTATACTGTTGAAATTAAGTGCCATAGGCAGTTTGGAGGGGAAGATATAGATGTTCAATCTATGAAAACTTGGGATAAACTAGTTCAAACACTGTGAAAGGGGTTGTATTGGTTACAACCCCCTATGGTAAAGTCAAACAGAGGACACCAACTTAAAATTGGTCCGGGAGACTGATTTTATACTGGCTGGGCCCACCAATACGTTAGAACAAAGGGGCCAAGAATTAGGGGGCCTGTCCAATATAAAATCAGCTGGGGAGACCAATCTCTTATCGGCTGCCTCTGACTGACCTTACCGCAGGGGGTTGTAACAGATGCAACCCCTTTGGCAGTGAAAGGAACTAATTATCAAGAGAATTTTGATGCTTTCTACACCAAAAAGATGAGATTATCCAAGATGTGCCTTTAATCTTACAAGTCCCTCTACTTGTGGGAGAGATCAGTACTACGCATTGATCCACCAGCCAGGGACAAGGGACTTAGATAAGTTGGTGTAGTCAATCAATCTCAATTGTTGTCTTTTTTTCACTCAACGCACACACATATTTTTTTGTTTGTTTTAAATAACAAAAAGTTTGGGGGAGTGGTTTGTACAAATATCTGACAGGTGTATTTCTGAGGGCAGAGTAGTGAGTGAGTGTCAAATTCTCCAGGTTGTAGTTGTGTGAAAGTGTAGTTTGTCCATGGGCCAAAGGAGAGTCCCTGGGAATCCCTACATGTGAGGACTTGAGAGCAGAGTTTGGGAATTGCCATAGATTTTAGAAACTGTGTTGGGTTGTTTCAAGTCCTTGAATTGCACATACAGACCTGATTTACAGTCCTCAGTGGAGTTTCTCTTATGCTATAACTTGTAAATTTATCTGTTGATTTATTCCTTTGTTTTTGTGTGTGTTTGCTTGTTCTTCAAACAAAGACAAAAAGGGAACTAAAAAAAATTTAAGCTCTTGGAGTTCATTTCACAATTGATGCTCATATTAAAACAGGTATAAATCAAAGCTGGAAATTTTACCTCACATCTTGGGATCTTATGGTATTTACTTATCTGTATCTGGAGTTGATTCTCTTGGGATCAAGTCTACATCATCACTCTATCTAAACAAATTTGGAATGAATTCCCTACCTCTGTTTGCATCACACTCAACCTGAGTACTGTGCTGTTCGATGCATAAGACCACACATCCTTAACAAGCAAAATTTTGGCACCAGGGGATCAATGGTTCTCTGATAAAATTGACTGGATGATTTGGATAGTGAGCCATCTGTAATCAAGTTTTCTTCAGCGGCCGGAAAGCGTTTATAATTCCTATCGAGGAAAGGTGATGGAGATCCGGTACAAAGTGGGTGGATCCATAATACATGAAATGGAAACAAACAACGGATTGACAAGATGGAGATCAGCTGATGACCATTGTCGCTAGATTGATCTCATGACCAACAAGCTTTTTGATGGTATCATTGAGGCGGAGCAGCGCTGAGGGGCATTTTTAACGCGTCCGGATGCGCGAGGTGTGTAGCGCCGGCTGATCGGAGCCAGAGAGATTTTTGTGCCTTTGAAATTCAACACGAGCACAGACTCAGTGCAGTAGGGTCAAGACTTCTCCACAAACAAACCAACCCATCTCGTTTCCACCATCTACGTCCAAGGGGTTGTTGAACGGCCCTTCTTCTAGCTCCATCCACTCGCACATCAGCCTCCAAGATGTCGGCACAAAACCAGGGCGGAATAGACCATTCGTTTGTCTACTTGACCATCCTCGTGACCGTTGCTGCCAAGAACGACTGGCCGATCTATCACTTCGATTTAGAGGATGGACATCTGGACTGTCCGATAGACGAGGAGGTGTATGTGAAGCCTCCCGAGGGATACGGCGAGCCCGGCAAAGTGATGAAGCTCAACAAACCAATCTTCGGGACCGACGCGGCGGCGCGCTGCTGGTGGAAACTCATCAAGTCACTATCGAGCCATGGCTATAAGGGCACGAACTTCAATCACAGCGTGTATACTTTGCGCAAAGGGGAAGAGACGATCATCATGTGGGTCGATGCATGTGATGGGATCGCTACGGCTTCCTCTGAACAAGCGTTACGTGCCTTGGAATCGCTCATCAGCAAGAGTTTGGAGGTCGATTGGAACATCAGACCTCCGCAGATACTTGGCATCACCATCGAGAAAATCTCTGGGGGCTATAGTCTCTCTCAACGCGAACTAGTCGACGAACTTGTCCGAGAACATTGGGATGGAACCTCGCTTGCCCAAACCCCATTGCCGGAAGGCTATGCACCCACCTCGTCTGGAGAGCTCAGCGACAAACCCTCGAGTGAATACCTCTCCACCATGCAACGTCTCGCCGCAATCGCCGCAAGGACTCGTCCTGATATGCTCTACGGCGTCGCCACACTCGCCCGATTCTCGCAGAAACCAACGGTAGAGAACTGGAATGGACTCCACCATTTGATCCGTTACTTGGCACGAGCTCGGAGAGTTACGCTCCATCTTGTCCCGAATCTTTCGAGCTCGGAGTCGCTGGATTGTTACAGCGATGCCAGTTGGGCCGGCCCGACTCTGCCCTCAATCCATGGCTATGTCATCCGACTCTACGGATGTCCCATCTATTGCGGATCGCGCAGATTGCCCGACTACGCGCTCTCAGGATTCGAGGCGGACTTCATGGCCCACGACCAGGCCATGAAGCAAGCGCTCTGGATCCGAGACCTTGCCAAAAACCTGGTCGGCACCAGCTTCAAGATTCAACTCAACTGTGCCAGGGACTCTGCCGGCAAAACACTCAGCGAGGGCTCCTCCACTACCCAGATGAGACCGTTCTACCATCCTACTATCAACGCTGGTCACGCGTTCATTAAGTGGATTGCTCCCGTGGATCAAGTCGCTAATATCCTCACGGAACCACTTGCTAAGAAATCTTTCAACATCCTTTCGCCAAAAGTCCAAGGCCGATCACTTGCCACCAATTAACGTTAGTCATCTTTCTTATAATCATCACACTGTCTGTCTTAGTTCTAATTTCTCATTCTGTTACATTCTTTGGCTGTTAGACTTGACATGGATCAGAAGTTATGAAGTGATCACCGAATTATCTCAGTCCGATCAGCTCTTATATCCCTGAAGCGGCCCTGCCAATTTTTGTAGCTTCCGACTTGCTTTTTTGTTGCGGCCGGGCTCAAGTTTCCATCTCGACATGACCTTCAAAACTCCTGCTCATGAATAGCAATCCCCCTCAAAAAAATCCCCGTTTGCCATCCAAAAGATGAACCAAAATTACCCGTCTAGCTCGGTGGTTGTCCATCAAAATCCTCGTTACCTTATAACAATGTACTTGTTTTGTTGCTCTTGGTTTTTGTAGTAAGTAACAAAGCTTGCCAGTCTTCAAACTGACAAAAAGTGGCCAAATTACAATTGGGCTCTTGTGCGGCAGGTTGAAATACTTCTGATAAATTATGAACCCACCCATTAAACGTTTGCGTAAAACTTTTCATGTTCTCTAACATTTGGTCGGGCGGCATCGCCCGCACGACGGGCCCCAGGTTCCGTGCAACAAGATCAATTCAACGCTTTTCCTGTCCCACTTCGACAGGGGGGGGGGGGGGGGGGGGGCACAGCTCATCACCATCGCCAGCTCCGTCTCCCCGGCTGGAGCGGCACAGTGTATGATTGGAACATAAAGTAAAGTTGCAACGATATTGGAGCAGGACCAGTTTGCTTGTCCTCCACGGCTCAATCCGATGATCCTTGACGACATACAATTAATGAGAGACACGAGCTCTTGCTTTGTTGATGGCCTCAGGACCAGACAAGAGGGTCATCGCCAGCGCTTGGATGAACACTCGTGCTGATATCTTGCCCACGCTCTTCAACCATCATGAAGTGTAAGTTAGGACAGTGATGTATATATACAATTATTAGGTCAACAGACCCTTCTTGAAGTGTGCATGCACCTGAACTTTTTGTCAGTCCAGGTTTCTGTTTGTTTCAAGCGGGTCTGACTGTCCACCATCTGGAACCGATCCAAACAGCTTTCTTCAGCCAGAGTCGACTGGCACCTCGAAGGCCCTCCTCCAACTCAGACCAAGGCTCGAATTCGGCTGCCGTTTCTAAAACCTCAGTCCTCCAATTCGACCTCGAACCTTCCGTCTTGCATGGCGAGTCTCCGCCGCAAAAGGACGGCCACCAACAAGAACCATCCAAAGTGCTACAATGGCTCGATCCCTCCGATCATCATCCATCTTCATGGCTGGCTTTTTGTGCCGGCAATCTGAGCGAATCTGTTGACTCGAACGACGCCTACGATCTCGTCATCTTGCCCATCTCGGTGTCAACACTCTCTTTCCACCACCATTCCCCACTCCTCAGGCCGCTTCTCGTAGCCGCCGTTTTCCCGGGAATATTGCTTGGAAAAACACTTGTATTTATCAGGAAGGCCGGCTCGTCCAAGCTTCACAGCCCACCCTGACTTTGTCGCCATTGCATCAACATAAACGTCCTTCGAATAACTAGCTTCCAATGTGCACTTTTACAGATTCATACATATGCCGAGCAGATTCCGCTTTCCTCCCCACTTAAACCTGTTCTCCCGATCTAAGCCCCTCACCCCCCTCATGAACATTTCTGCTTGCATCGCTATATCCTCACATTCTTGATGTAGTATAGTAACATTGTTCACATACATACTTAGTTAGATAGGTTCGATCTGCCCTTCGACGATTCTTGTCAACAGTCCGTTTCCGACTTGCTATGAAGCCCTAAATAAACACGTCCCAACCAACTTTGGATCACACATATTGCTGTAGTTTTCTACACATACATATCAACCCACCCATCAAAAAGCGGCTGAAGAACGCATTGCACCCAAACAAAATTAACTTTAACAACCGCTATGACGCCAAATTTTGATTGAGAGAGAAAAAAACAAAAGATAATAGCGAGAGTCAGTTTCGATCCGACGACCTCTGGGTACACTACACACAACCACGTTTCGAATCCGACGAAGATGAATATGAGCCCAGCGCGCTACCAGCTGCGCCATCTCGCTTGTGAGAAACTTCCCTGTTTTGGCATCCACACTCAAACTGAATTTTAGACCCCGATTGAATAGGGAGATGCTTAAATTCAAAAGAATGATAAAAAGAAACAAAGAGGACAAATAACTGTTGATAGATTGAGATGAGTGATACAGAAATATATATAAAAAAAGAAGAAGAATAGACCCAGTATATGAAGAAAGAGAGAGACAGGAAAAGGGACGTGAATAAAGCTGAGCTAATATTCTCACAAAAACATACCCATAGAAAAGTCGTTTATAAAACCCAAGGTATGTAGTGAGTTTTTTTTGGAGTGGAGATAAAAAAAAAAATTAGGCAAAGGTATCAGGAATGACGACTTGGGCAGAGGCGGAGGAGCCATTCTCGGTAGCTTGCGGAGTAGAGTCAGCAGGTTGATCAGAGGTCAGAGGGGGGTCAGTGGGATTATTATCATCGGGCGCCGTCTTATCGATGATGCCGCCTTCACTGAAGCACAAGATCCCGACCCGGTCGAGGTCCTGGACGATTTTCTCCGCCTCGGGGATCTCCATGTCGCCGATGACGAGATTGACCTGATCGAGCTTCTTAGACTTGAGCGCCTTCTGGAGCTTCTTGGGGAACTGGTTGAACGTGTTCCACCGGTCCCAAAGGAACTTGCGCACTTCCTCGACATCCAATTGCTCCGCCTCCGCCGGATCTTCCGTCTTCAGTTCCAGATTCTCCGGCGGCGGTCCGTCCGGCACTTCAAAGGTTATCGACGTCGTCGGATTCGTGGGCACGAGTTGGATCTGCTCCTTTGATGTAGGCGCCTCCGATCGTTCGGCTATGATCACCGCACATCGTTTCGATATCCGGTCGTATGTCGAATTCACATCATCTATGAAGACTTGCATCGCCTTGGGTTCCCCAGAACCAACCCTAGTAATACAGCTCCTCACAGTTAAACCACGAAAAACCGGACACCAGAAAGCCTTGGTGTGAAATCGAAGAAGGTAGGAATGGACTTACTTGCGAAAGAAGAGACTAACGCCATCCCTCCCGAGTTTTCGACAATACTGCAGCAACAAGCCTTGATGGACGCAGTTCTTAGCGTAGCTTTTCTTGCCCTTCATCTCCGACTCGAAGGCCTCAACGAGCAGGGCATCGGTTGTGGATTCGTTGAGGTAGAGCGAGGGGTCGGCTTGGATGGCCGAGAGGGAGGACGAATAGTCAGAGGATTTGATCTTGGCGAATTTCTGCGCCGATGGGGATAGGCGCGGCAGTTCTTCATCGTCCGAATCTTCCACATCCGAATCTTCTCCCTCCGCTTCCGCTCCTTCATTGTTGTCCTGCATTGTAAAGAAAACTTTAGTCAGTAGAATTATTTAACCATTTTTTTTTGTATACGCATATAATCGGTTTGAGGACGAACTTGGCCTGCACTGGTTCCGCTCGCCTTGGGGTTCAAGACTTCGATATTTGTCTTCTTGACTTTCTTGGTCGACTTGGATTGAGACGAGGCCGTGATAGGTTCATCGATAGCAACTGAAGGTTTTTTATCGACGTGCTAATCAAAATTAAGTAGTAATAACAATAACGTCAGGGGTCTGGATGAGAACTCTCAACCACTGATCATTTCTTTCCCCCATAGCAAATTGGAAACAAGGAAGAAGTTGCGAACCGAAACATCAAATCCATCGTGGATATCTTCACTGGTGATGTGTTTATGGGCCTCGAGTTCCTCCTTTTCCAGATCGACTTTGCGTTGCTTTTCGCGATCGGCGAGTCGGTTGAGATGGAAGTTGAGTTCTTTTTCGGCAGCTTGATCTGAATCAGCCGGGCTGACATCTTTAATCTTAGTGAGAATTTGAGAGATCAGATTGAAGATCATCTGATCGATCGAGGGTTGATCTTCGGATGAGGAGGGTGGTTTGGCATGGCCCTCGGCGGAGAGCTTCGAGGCCGTCTTGCGGAGATGGTCTGCGCCGTCTTGCTTAGTCTTGGCCACGAGTTCCTCGATCTTTTCTAACAGAGCCGCGTTCATCGGGCCTTCCTTCTTGAGGCCATCGATCTTCATCTTCCGTTCGTCTCGTTTTTGATGGATCTGACGTTGCTTGAGACGGATGAAACTCCGTTTGTCGACACTATCAACAAACAGATATGTCAGTCATTCGTCCTCCACTGATTGACATTTTCGAGCGACGACGACCAAGCAACTCACTTTGGATGGCATTCGATGTCCGAGTCATCGGATAACTGCAGCAGAGCCATTGGAGTCAGTGGATATGATACCATGATGTGTCAAGATGAGGTCATACCTCCAAAGCGTCCCACTTGGAATAGTTGAGTGGCATGTTGCTGGGACCAAGAGTCGAAGGGTTTGTGATGAGTTGCTTGTTCAAGAGAGTTTTCCGGAACTTGCTTGGGGTTGAGACCAGACAGCGTGAGTATACCGGTATATGTATGTAAATATGTAGGAGGATTTGGATGTTGATATGTAAATATGTAGATGGTAAACTCGGCTGAGCTGAGCCCGGTCAGTTTTATTCGGAGACGCGCCCGCTCAGCCAGCGGAACTTTCCAGAACCGTCTGGAAGCCGTCCGGTCCCGATTTCACATGACCCCGAAGTCAGTTCACTCTGCAGCCCAACCCAGCTCACCCAATAGGACCCAGGAAAGCCCCTACCAAGCCGCTCATGTAAATCCAGGAATATCTGGGTTTTTGATACATAGGGGAACCTGGTTTTTTTGGGCCATGCCCAAAAGTGATACCTTTTACATGAGGGTGCTTTTTTAAAAATTTTCAGGGGGCACATTTTGATACGCCCCACATTAGGATCATTCTAAAGGTGCACATAGTCTTTTTTTACAAATTTTCAAAAATATTTGAATTATGAAAAAAAAATCAGATTCATTTTGCTACCTGCTGAAAGGCTTTATTAATGTCTTGCTCTACTTTACTTGAATATGTACACCGGGAAAAAAAAGGTTCCTTGCACAGGGGGAACATCAAATTTTGCAAGGTGGGGCGGGCAAAAGAGATTCTTATTTCCTTAGGAACATTTGCAAAAAAAAAAGAAAAGAAAAAAAATCTAAAATTGATACTAATCTGGTGATTTTCATGAGGAACATTTCAGAAAAATTTCTGATATAGATATGTGTTACATGAGGCGGCTTGGTAGGGGCTTTCCTGGGTCCTCACCCAATGCCTCTGAAAGCCTGCATCTTATACAGTATGCACTCATACCACAATCCTCCACAATCACCCGCGAGATCACTGGCCAACTGGGGCCCTCCAAAGGCTTCCAAAGGAGGGACCTCAAGCCTCATCCAAGGCCAAGTTCTGGGCACCTTTCACTGATAGTGTTTATTTGGATTCTGGTCATAAGACTCGACTTGCTCCACTTGAAAGCTACCGCACTGGTTGTGTCAGGAGAAGGACAACTTTCTAGCCACAGAGTCATCTTGGCATAATTCATTTGGGTTTAGTGGGAATTTGTAATTTTCCATTACAGCTAGCAAAGCTAACAACAGCCTAGAAATTTATTGGACACCCTCAAACTTAAGCCATGCAATCCTGTATGAGGACAAAATCGTGGCCAAGCCAAGCAATAAATATGAATCGTAATATTGATCCTTCCTCCATTCATTGACCACCAGGAAAGATTTCCCCAAACAAAAATTCATCTGCATCACAAGAAGATAGAAGCTCCTCCAAATATCATTCCCAGATTAGAGCTATCTTATACAATCTGTATATACTATATATATCCCCTTCTCTTCTTCCAGTCATTTACGAGTTTTATGTATGAACAACTAGCCCAGTTCTCAATAGCCAGTTTCAATGGCCGATCACCTTGTTGAAAGTTGCTGATAGCATTTTTTTTAGAATGGATCTGGAATAATCTGAGGGACTCGGACTACACATCCAAAAATGGATGTGTTTTTAAGTATCAATGCTTTGCTGATTATGGCTAAAAATATTGTCGATGCCTGGCTATTGTGAACCAGGCTATTGAACAAATCTTATATATTATAACTATAATCATAAACATTGCTGATATGACTATGAGCTTCCCAGCTGAACTTCTGTGTTTTGATCATAGCTGACACTCTCATGATTGGGTCCCCTGCTGAATATAATTCCCTTCCTCCAGGGAACAAATCAGCACATACATAGAATACACAATGTACATGCATACACACATCACTTATCATGCTCAAAATTGCATACTTCAAGTTTTAATTAACAGCATAGGTTGTGATTTTGATTGGGACCTGACAATATGACTTCTGAGTATGCTGACAGGTCCCTGCCAAATATTGCTTTTTTATTTTTATATTAAAGACTTTTTAGGACACCATCACTGTTGTCAACTCATAATCATCATTGATTGTGAACCACATAAGCACAAGAAAAATTTTCTTCATCCGTACTTGGCATCTCAGATCACATCCTTTGGTCCTCTAATACGGTGAGATTGGCAGTCCATTTGTCCAATTTTGAAGTCATTTGAGCATTGCATTCCTATTCCTTCCTCATTCCTTTCTTTGACACTTTTAATCCACAGTGTTTTTCCTCTTATGGGAAATGAAATCATGTTCCAGAAACACATTTTACCTACCCCAACAAATTGTCACATTCTATTTTCATTCTAGCAAGCACACCCAAGTTTCTTATCATTTTCTTTTTCACTCCTGATCTTCTTCTCAATTCTTTCAATTGATACATACTCAATTAGTTTTGTCATCTTTTGTATCACCAGTCCCTTTCAACATTCCTGTATTTGATTTATATACTCTTCAATCATCCTAATTCTATTTCATTTATTCCACCTTCATCTCTCTCCAAGCAAAATTCACAACACTCCAGAGGAAAGTTTCCTCATTCCTTGAACTATGGACAAATTGTCAAAGCCACAAGATGGATTGAATTTTGTGATGACAGAGCATTCATGTATGATCATACATGGTAAGACACAGAATTGCTGCACTCTCATGTATGAGGAGTCTCAATAACCTCCAACTAGCAAAGGACACAGCAGAAGGTTTAAGCGTGAAAGTCCACACTGTTCTTTGAACAGATTCATAAAGCTGCTGTCTATGACTGTTTTCACCTTCAGGGCATTGAGATTTGCGACAAATGTTGTTTGAATTACGCAAAAGGTTGAGATGGACTGTTAATGAACGAAAATGAGCGGACTTATTCGGAAAATTATTACAAGCGAATGGGAGAGAAACGTCTGAATCAAGGAAAAAGAGGGAATACTGAGCCTTTGAAGATCAGGGAGTAGAAAATGAGATTGCCCTTGTAATCTAGAGGGTGGGATTGGCTCGGCGGACACGAAGCGCAGGGCCCGATCACCAATTTTCCCATGACTCAAGCGATAGTCTAACTATGCTTAGGCAGATGGCCAGCTGGCAGAAGGAGACTCAGCTTGCCCTAAAAGAAACTGCAGAATCTGGAAGGCTCCTCGTGGCTGGTATTGGGGAACCATGTGGCCGGCTTTTTCAATCTCGACCAAAGTCAGACCACGCTCAGTGGACTGAAAAAACGAAATCAGAAGATTTCTTGACTGCTTTCACTTTTTGGTAATCCACAGAAGACTTACGAAGCGTCCGGTAGAGCCTTGACCGGCAATTATGAAGTCCTTGTTAATGGGCTTGCGGAATCCTTGATCGTGGCCCCATGTCATATTTCTACGAATGTAATGTATGTCAGTATGCAGTCAATTGAATGGGAGCCGGACAACTATTGATAGATATAGTACTCAACTGTAGGACCAGTTTGGTTCCTTGATTAATCATCACCATATCGGTTTGTCCGGAAGCTTGAAGAACACGGGCAAATGGGATTCAGTAGTTTCAGCTTATGATGATGCTAATGAATTAATCGTGCGACTGACCAATGACGGATCTTTTGTTTCTGTCAATGACACTCGATAATATGGAAACGGCCGGTGGGAGCGACTTGTCTCCGTCAGGGAATACCTTTACAATGAACGACGTCAGTACGATCAATTCCACTCACTGATGTGAAAATGATCGGATGTAGTGAACTCACCCCGGGCGAACATTCTATCCACTTGCCAGTGGTCGGCACATGCAATGCTTGTTTGACGTCTTCCCTGTTGAAGTAAACCGCGTCACCTTGCATACCGGGCCACCGTTGAGGAGCATCCAGGACATCCCAGAAAGAAGGTGGGGTGTCGAGGATTTGACTTTCGAGTAACAAGCGAATTATTAGTATCATGAGGCGTGCCGCGAGAAATGTGAGGACTTACTAGACATTGAATGCTAAAGAGCGTATAACGCGACCGAAAGTGAGTCAATCAACCCGAAAAAACTTGCTGCTAACCAAATTTCACTTGCCTGGATTAGCCAGTTTAGCTGCTTCGTAGACCTGAGGAAAAGCATAGGATTCAGTCACGCCTCGCCCTTTCATGAAAATTCTGTGATCTCTATGATTTCTTATAACGATCTTTTTCATACATACCATGTTGAATGTGTCACAACTTGAGTTCGATTGCTGATGTTCCATATCTGATCAGCACAAGACACACGTCAATTCGCGGAAAGATTAAAGGTAAGAGTAGAAAATGGTTATTGAGAGTTTCTTTCTGATAACGTTGACTCACAGAACCCGACCTCAGGCGCAGGAAAGGGGCCTCGGGGTGGCGGATACACTTCATACTGGCAGGATGTGAAAGGCACAACGATGAGCAAGATTGACAAAAAGATGACCATTGAAGGACTGAGACACCTTAGCGAGATAGTCGGCATATCCACATTCTTGATGCAAACGGCTGATGGTAGACATGAATGTTTCGTTCAAGGCAAATACATGCTCGTAACGTTTTACCAGTGGGAAAATTGGCATCTGTTCATGCAAGACTGTCCTACATGGGCGCAATTATATGATCGTTAGACAAGCACAATGGTCCAACTTTCCAATCAGAACTTACCATGACAAGGTTGGGTTCACGAGATACATCCCCATGAGCTTCAAGTTGAGGTTCGATTGATAGCTGTAAATGTAATCAGCCAAATAGGGCACGTAGAATCCAGCGTAGGATTCTCCGCTAACTGTTTTTTCATCGACGTTAGCTCCCAATTTGAGCATGCTGAAGATCACCACACTCACGCCAAAAGTTCTTGCCGTTCATCTCCGGAAAGACCTAACGAAGTATGCGAACATGTTAGATTGAAGCGGATGCGTGATAAGGGTAACGGTGACTAACCTGAAGCCATTGGGTGAAAAAATTGAACAAGTCTCGTGATACATCGGTTTGGTTGGTAGCTGTGGGTGTACCGACTGAGTATCCTGTACCGATGGGATGCTCCACATAGAGCATCGAGGTGGCATTGGTCCAAGAGCTAAGGGGGTTTGAGGAAATTCGGGTTTAGAAATCGATCTCAAAACGGCGCACTTGAAATGTGAAGAAGCCATAGGATATGCTCACTATTGGTTTTGTGTCGGCCGGGCTTGTCCGAATTTCCATGAAATCTGTAGGGCAGATCAGGCACCGCGAAGATCCAGTTGAAAGGAATCATTTGAGCATTGTTGGAAATGTCAGACAGTTTATAAACCTAGCCGAACTTACGGGCCCAGTCTCTTGCAACAGGGATTCAAGGGAACTACAGCCGGGACCTCCGTTGGTCTGAAGAGAAATCATATCTTGTCAACTTGGCGAACATATCACATTTCAGACAATTTCGCGCGCTCACCCAGAATGTCAAGTCATTGGCCCCGACGGCCTGAGCAGCTGGCCAAAACCAAAAAAAGAATTTGCGCTTCTCGTTAGGGTCGGAAGATAATGGAATCAAGCCTGCATAGCTAAGTTGATAAAGAGGACGCGTTGGTAACCGATAACTGTCAGCTCAGACCTGAATGCGGAAACGCGCAACGGGCAGGAAGAAATAACACTCTACCTGGGTCCAGCATCGAACTCGACAAATGGAAGGGTTTTTCCATCCACGTAAAACTTTTGTGCAGCCTGGGACGAAAAGCGCGAAGGAAATGTGGATGCAGAGCCACCCGTGGTCGCGGGCTGGCCGGATTGGGAACCGTACTGCGGATTCATACCGGACTGTGCGCCGGGCTGAGAGCCATACTGCTGACCCGTACCCAGTTGCTGTTGGCCCATGTCAGGTTGAGCGCTATACTGCTGACCCATACCGGGTTGAAAACCGTTCTGGCCATTCTGGAAGGATTGAGGGACACCGAGTTGCTGGAATCCGGGGCGCTGTCCAAAAGCTGCATTCTGAGAAAATTGATTGAGTGTCTGGAAGGGATTCACTGCCCAGGCGGTGGTATTGCCGAGTAGACTGAAAAGGAGCGTGATTGTCTGCGCTAGCGCTGTGGGAGAGCCTCTGAGGAGCATCCTGTCGGGTGTGGAAAGCCTTGGAAAGGGTGTGGCTTGCTATTTGCAGCCGTGTAAGAACGGTGATGTGGACTGAAGTGCGTGGTGGATGGGGGGAAGCTGCTCCTCATCCAACTGGCTGTGGACTAGTTATTGTACCAAACCACTCCAGACTCCAGAGAGATGTCCCCAGATACATATGTAATACCATCGCATACATATTTATTTATGATCATTGATTGATTCCTGCGGGAGCCCACTTGCAGCATCTCACACCTTTCAATTCTCTCGCTCGAGTTCTCAGGAGTTCTCAACTTTTAACGTCACAGGGAGACCAACTTGTCAAAGCTTTCAGTTGAAGTTGAAGCACACAGGAGCAGTCTTTAAATGGACAAGGACTCGATTCACTCGGGAACAATTCCCTCTCACTGCGATGTGTACATACGGCTTCGAATTGTTCCTTCCAATCGATTAATTGAAGTTTTCTGGGAATTCAATTGTGAAGGGTTGTGAACCGACAGCACACGAGTACATGCAGAACGGCCCGATGTGTCCCGATCTTCAGCTGAGCCTTCAAAAGTTCAAATGTATCCTCGGAATCCGGATTCCGGAATGCAGTGAGCAACTTTGACCATATTGGTTTCTCCGGCGTCCGCAATTCCGGAATGCAGTGAGCAACTTTGACCATGTTGGTTCATCCGGCGTCCGCATCCGGAGTACATCATGTCCTGTTCTGGAGGATGCCTTCTTGAAGCAAGCCTCCGATGGAGCCTCCGACGGAATGAGTCCAGGACCATCCGATGGCCGCTTTTTTTTTTCTTTGACAAATCGTGCCCGGGACAACACGCGTTGCCAAATTTGCTCACTCGAGCCTTGAGATCTAGCCATTTGAAGCGGCCCATGAACGCGAGGCCATGATGACTCTTCAGAAGCAGACTGACCCTGAGTCTCAGAAGATCTGTTGTGCTGGATGACTGAGTTTGCGGCACCATCACTTTTTTACAGGTGCAACTGGTCTTAAGGGTTGCACTAACGGCTTGGTTGGTCTGAACCTCTCCCTATTTCCTTTTTTTGTTTTCACCTCTCTTTTCTCAGTCGCGCAGCTCATACTCCGATCTGATGTTATTACATTATGCTGTCTAACGTGCAAAAAAATGGTTGGAGACTTTCAAAATTGAATTTATCTTGCATTACCTCAAATGATTGGCCGGAAACTGCTTTGTTGAACGGATGTATGTACGTGGCCTTTTAGTGTTTTGGACTTGAGCAGCATGTCCTTATGGTCCGTTTGTGCGATATTTATTCTTGTTGTTTTTTCTTTCTTTGCAATGTTCATCCTATCATTCTGACTCTGGCCAATCAGACAACCAAATGTAATTCACCATCAATGATCACTATAACCTCTGAACATAAAACCAAGATGTATTACCTACGTCTAAGTGAAAAATATTGAGCCTCTTGTGGACTTCCGAAAGCGATGACAGTCCAGAACCCGGTCTCCTAGCTGGAGTGGAAGTTGTTTGAGTTCCAGGCCGGACGATCCGCTCTCCCTTCTTGTCAGTTTGACAAAGTGGGAGTCGTCGTCATCCTCACGTCCTTGGGGGTCATCCTCATGGTCCTCGGCCGCTTCCGTTCCAGCGTAGGACAATTTCTGAGTGGAAGTGAGAGGTCTAGGTAATAGATTTCTGGTTGATGAGCTCGCGATCGAGGAACTGGGCTCACCTCTTGGTGTCATGGATGCCTGCTGAGGTGGGAGTGGCCGCAACCCCAATCGGACGCCTGAGAAGCCCGGATGGTCAAGACGTGTAGTGATGCAAAATATTATGAAGCCTGAAGTGAAGGCCTGCTCACAGTCACAGGTTTGGTCGCAGTTGGGCAATGTCACCTGCGGATGGATTGTTGTCAGATAGTGACCACACCGGCACCGTGCCGAGGGTCCAACGTAACGGAAAACATGAGCCTATGTCGAGAGTTACATTTATCAGGTCCCAGTTGATCATTGATATCTGGCTCAGCAATGATAGTTGTGAAGTAGTATATCAGAACTTACCCCGACACGCCACGAGGTCGCTGCATCGTCGAATCGAGTGATGTTTCCGGCGATGATAGCTTCGGCGCCGACGGCGAAAGATGAAAATGTGTTCTGCAGCGCTTTGGTTCCTGTGATGATTTAAACGGCTTCCTTCGAGTTCGACTGTCAAGCGACGCTTCGGAGGCATGATGTTCATCTGATTTGAAGACGGAGGCAACACACAAAACTTACTGCAGAGTTCCGATCGTAGTGTCCTATCACTAACTACTTCAAGATTCCCCTGCTGGCTCCGTGAACTAACTGCCACTTAAACAGTTTAACCTTGGTAATAGGTAGCACAAAGACGTATAGGATCACTCGAAACTAATCGGCAAAGTGATCGCCATTGGCTTTGGGACCATCTTCAGGACCCAACAGTTCATGGGAGCCGGAACCAACGATGGCCCACGAAAAACCCTTGAAGGAGTGATGCAACTCCATAATTGGAACTCGGTCGTAGTTTTGTGTGTTGCCTTCTTTGTCTTCAAATCTGATGATAGCATTATACCTCTGAAGGGTCGCTTGACCATCGATTTCGAAGGAATCCGATTACATCGTCTCGGGAACCAAAGCCTTACAAAACACATTTCCGTTTTTCGCCGTCGGCGCCGAAGCTATCACTCTCGGAAACATCGCCCGTTTCGACGATGTAGCGGCTATATGGCATGTCATGGTGAATTCTGATATACGACTCCACAACTAAGATAATGTTGATTAACTTGATCTTGACGCAGGCTACCATGTTTTCCCTTACGACGGCCTCAGCACAGTGCCGCCGCTGCAACTATCATCCTCGGAAGCATCACTCAATTGGAATTTGGAGCAAAGGCCATCACTTAGCTGATTAGTTTCGAGTGATTGTTGTCGTCTATATACATCTTTGCGCTGCGTATTGCCAATGTGACCTCATCATCTCATTCTGACCTGATCTGTCCAATCAGAGCACCAAAATCGATTCAACATCATTGCCGTTTACAAAATGTAAGAGTCCTCAAAACAACAGAGAGAAAAATGGACATGAATAATCAGATGTACCGGCCCAAAAATTACTATGCGTCAAGCAAGCTTTCCATGAACGACGGCAGTTCGAGCGGCTCTGTTCCGCCCCATGTGTCCGGGATGCTCTCTAGAGAACAGGCTTGTGAAGCTCTGTTGCACCCGAAGGAGCGTCTATGTATGGGTCCATTCTCGTCCTGGGATGACTCTGGTCTTCTTGGGACAATTTTAACAGCGTGAGAGCAGGAAGGCAGAACAGAACGACTGCCCCCACCGAATTCAAGTTTTAACCCACGTGAATCCTTTGGGCAGCCGAACCGAACCAATATGGAGACTTGGCTATCGGAGATGAAAGTTTGGGAACTTTTTTTTAAAGAAAACCCACTGGACAATCCTCCTAGCCGCGAACTTCAAGAAACTACCGTCCGAATCGTGGCCTTGATGTTTAATATTCGCAATACTGCCTTCAATCATAGGCCCCGGCCCCTGTTATAAATCCCGGCTAGTCACCGTGTATGCCGGGCCCGTCACGGAATGATACCAACGATTCGTAGTAGCTCCAATCTGGTACATAGCCCTATGCAAAATCCCCAGTCGATAGCTTGGGGATAGGAAGTTAATAAACATACATAAATATGTATTTTTTACGCGTAAGTCTGATTGAGCGATGGCCGATTATACATACACTGACAATCAATGATCTGGATGGGCTTGGCTTCAAGATTTAATGTACTCCATTATTCGATTTGACTCCGAGAGATAGTTTCAAGCGTTTGACTTGTCAGAGCAGGTTTGATGAAAGATACACAACGTTTTTGAAGAAACGAAAATCTGATTGCATACTCAATTGCGGGGAGGGCTTCTTCCGCTAGCGGTCAAAATGTTGGGATATAACTCAGTGGATCAGGGTGCATGGATGAATCAGTCGCTTGTGTCGGAGAGCGTCGAATCCAATCTACATGCTTCCAGCTTCCGCAAATTTTCGATGATCCCCCCCTGATCTAGTCACGCTCTGTTATCCGGGTGATTTCCCAACAGGATCCCGCGAGCTCGAGCCGAGTTGACCAAGCGGCTGCGGCTTGCCTCATCTGCCTATGCTCATTTGGTTGGAAGGATATTCATCCTTGGGACCTTGGTAAACCTCAGTGTGTGCATAAAGTGTTATTTAGTATCAGATTGCATTCTCTTTCCAAACAGACCGACATGAAATAGCCTTTTTTAACTTGGGAACTGAACCTTCTTTCCTCAGCAAGCAGAGGATAGATAGATAATCCAGCTTTGTTCGGGGCACAATTCTATGGCTCTCTAACCAAAATATCTCAACCTATCTCAACAAGTTGATTTTTTCTTCTTTCAAAATTTTTCATCACAACCCCTTTCGAACTCAAGTATACCCATCATGTTACCAGTTTGCGTGCAACTTCTTGCGGTCATGGCGTTCAGCTTGATTCACTCCTACAGCTCTTGGCCCGGCGACCACAACGAATCCAGCAGCTTGAACAAAAGGTCGATGTCCAATGTCCAGCGAAACGCCTTACCAACCTGCGGTGAAAAGTGTATGGTCAAACTACTTTCGGAGACGTTGCCTTGCCATCCAGTATGTCAATGATCCCACAACACTATCTCTGAGGCTCTGCTCTATCATTAATCCTTTTCTCCTTTTTTTCGATTGATTGATTTCGTTAGGCCGATAGCTGGTGTCTATGTCACAATGGTCCATGGCAAATCAAAGTGGAACAGTGCTTTGAAACGTCTTGCTCGCCAGTAGATATGGTCACTTCGGTAGTTGCAAACCAAAACTTTTGTGGGAAGCTCAGTCAAACTCCAACGAAACCTACTCAATCTTTGCCCATTGATTCAATCCCGCCGCCGCGCAATAAATTAAGCGAAACAACGCCCATAAATGTAGCTCAGTCTGAGTCATCCGCAACAGAAAAGCCTCGTTCAAACGTCACTGAACCGTTTCACGGAGTAGTAAGCTTCTCAATTTTATCAGTTTTATGCCCTCTGTGACTTTCCGGCTCCCCCTGATTACCTTCTTGGATTTGAAAGTAACCGATTTCTTGTTGTTTTTATTTTTATTTTATTTCATTATCTTAATCCTGGATTCCGAATGTAGTCTTTCAGGAACCAAACGCTTGCGCCGCATTCCCCTTTCGAATCTACTACCTCGACGTTAATCATTAAGAATCATTTTCTTTATTTTCAATTTGGGCTATTGGTTTCGATTCTAAACCTGGCCCAGTAATCTTTGAAGACATCATTTTGTCCACTCATATTGAGACGTGTGGATGCTAATACCATTACTAATTTAATTATGTTTGATGTGAATTGTGACAGGCTCCCGCTCATATGAAGGCTTTGAGGAAGAAACCCATATCTGTAAGGTGGGCCCCTATTCATAAAGTGATGGTGGGGCACAGTCAAAATCTGTTTGCATTATCTATCTTTGCTAGAATATTGGGGAAGTCTGCACATTGTGAATGAGTGGATTTTATGGAAACACCTAAGCTGCTTATGCTTAAAGAAGGTAAATAAATGGGTAAGCATCCTGGCAAAATCCAATCAGGATTCCAGGAAAATATAATCCTAACATTCCTCTCAATATATCACCACTGGTGGAACTTACTCCAAGTAAAGTTATGGTGAGTAATCACAAAGTCAAGATAAATTGGAATCTTTTGAAGGCAATGAAAGGAATTAAACACAAATAATGAAATTTTAGATTAACTCACTATAGGCACAGATGACTCAAGTGCTGAGAGATTGATTGTGGTATTGGGGGGAAACAGAATTTTTAAAAAAAAACATGAAGAAGGTTCTGTAAGGAACTACATACTTTTGTCAGAGAAGAAGCTTTTTTGCATTGATATTTTGGTTTATACTGATTCCCAAGAAGAATCTTCACAGAAAAACAGTGGATGACTTCCCATTGAGATCTGTGGGACTCCCAGAACCAATTTAAAGCCTCAAAAGCCAGATGAATTTACCCAAAAGATCTAGGCTTTTGGTTCTAAATCAACATCTGTGAGAGCCCTAGATCCAATGGAAAGTCCTCCAGTTGGGTGCACCTGTTTTTCCAATATTCTTGTAAAAATGATAGAGTAGATTGCTTTATTGAAACAGTATTGAATAGAAACTCAATAGAAGTAATAGACTGATAAATAAAACAATGTTAGAAATCAATAACAAAATAAGAAATAAATGAAATGCATCAAGTAATAAATACCTGATAGATAAGATCAGAATATAACATAATCTTAACACGATTTACACCAATTGTAAACTCTTAACACACACAGGAATGTTTAGCAAACACAGCCTAGAGAAAGTGAATAAATAAAAACGGTCAATATTTTAATTACAACAAGGAAGACGATAGAAATTAACTACCTGCCCAGAAGCTGATTCTAGCTCCTCCTGAGTGCTTGAAGTAAACAACAAGTAAAACCGGTTTTTGATTTGACTGATCAGTGAACAAGATTTTGTTGACCTCGGGTAGATTTTTTGATTCAAATAAGAGATCGGCGAATTGTCAAAGGAAGGGGAAAGAAGGGGAATATGATCAACCAATAATGAAAAACAAGGCCTGCAGATGACACGAGTTCAAATTTGATTTAAATCAAATTAAATTATTAAATTCACCAATGTACGAGTTTAAACTCAACAATTCTCGAGCTTAACAAAGCCTCTCGATCGGAGGGTCCAGAAGGGACCCCGCGTCCCAAAGGGACGCTCTCCGAAGGAGATGATAAGTATCAAACTAAAGTTTGGATTTCTTAATTAGTACAATAATGAAGAAATACAAAAAGAGAAAGAAAAGAAATGATGTAGTACCTAAAGGCAGGAGCAGTGACACAAGGGACACGACAACAATAGGAGAATACAGGAGACAACGAAAATAGCAACTAATATTTAAAGTGTCAGATAGAGTCTTTGTTCTGTTGATGACAAGATGAAAAGAGACAAGAACCTACGACAATGAAGAATCTATGTTGACGATATAAGAGTCGGCGGAGAGTCGAATGGAAGGGAATTGATCAATAGATCAGCGGAGTCAAATGGAAGGGAATTGATCAATGGATCAGCGGAGTCGAATGGAAGGGATAGTTGTGTATGAGGAGTGACACGTAATGTGGAGATTTGTTTGATGTAAGAGTAAGAGAACAATACACGAGGAGACGAGACTAGAAAAATGGAAGTCGAGTTCTGGAGTCCTGAGGAAGAGAGAAACTGGATTGGTCGGAACAAAGAAGCCTATATATGATGGTGATGAGTTTACATGATGATGTCATTGGTAAACTGACTAGGATTAAGCCTGAGTTTAAATGATGATGTCATTGGTAAACTGACTAGGATTAGATAATTATCGGTATTGAGAAAACCCCTGCTAGAGCACTGGAGGGATCGAGGTCAGATCTCAACAAGGTCAGATCTCAACAGGAGAGGCTTACATGATAAATTGCCCTACCGGCCTGAGGTCATAAGGTTTAAGGGTGAAATTTCACATTTTTTAACTTCAAATTGATTTACCTCCAAAACCTCAATTCCTTCTAAGGAAATGAGGTTACTGGAGGTTAGCCATGCATCTTGGCTTTTGTTTTTAAACAAAAGAAAACTTTTAGCTACAAAAATGAGACTCCTACCTCTGTTTGAAGGAGGACATGCTTTGGGAGTTAAATCTTGGCAAATAGTAATAAATTTTGTTTATTTCCTCTCCTTCAGATAGTCGGATCGTGCTCGCATGACCGGATTGGAATTTAGAAAACTTGTTATGTTGTAGTTGACAGGTTCTTTGACACCATGAATGCAAGTGAGAGTGAGACTCCAAGGCTCAATGACGTGGATGTCATGAAGGTGTGAGACCGGACATCGGTGTGGAAATATCCGGTCATGGTCAAATCAGATTTTGTATTTTTCATTTTTGATCGAGCATAATATCTTTGGCTTCAGGAGGAGTGGTAGGAAAGTAAAGACATGGAAAAAATGAGAAAAATCATGCGAGTCTATGTCCCGCGCGGCTTCCCTAACAACAGTGATCTTGGGGGGGAAATGGGGTGTTTTGTGATTTATCCGGCCATTTGGCTGGATGCCCTCAGCCCGGATGTGCGACATCATGTGCAAGTCCCTCCCTGACGGGAGGCGGCCCTTTGGGCCTAGGGAGGGACTTGTGTTAAGTTTGACAATTCTACCCTCCAAGAAAATCTAAGCTACATTGGTGAGTAGAAGGATGTGAAGTGAGCTATGAGGAATTGATGGACTGCACTTCTAAAAAAACACCAATTTAATCAGCCTTAGAACATGAGCATACTAAGGGTATGTCCTTTCAAATGTAGGAGTTGCTTAGCTTAGGCATGTCAAATTTGGGGCTGGGATATGGCATGTTACATACATAGTTGTGCTCAGCCTGATTGTGCTAGCCTCAAGCAAACTTATGAGGATTGGGAGAAATACATACCTGTTTAGGATCTTGACTCCTTCATGTCATAATTTTGAGTCACAGGAGGCAAATTATAGTCTAACAAAAAAGAAGAAGCCAAGACAATTAGATTTTTACTTTTGTGAAAGCCATAAATTATAATGCAGGTGTTATCACATGTAACATTGACTCATCAAATGTCTTTTTATTGTGTTTAGTGCAACATTCATGAGCAATCCAAGAAGTCAAAATGTAAAGATAATCAGCCTGAAGAGATAAAAAATCTACCTGTTTATTGGTTCAATCTCATGAGGGCTAACATACAAGACCACAAAGTTTTCTTTCATACAACAGATAACCCAAAATTGGCAAAATTGCACAGGCATAAATCATTACACTATTAAATGTGAAGAAATCTCCGAAAGCAGGAAATGTGGGTTGTATTTTGAACAGCTTTGGTTGTGATTAGCAAAATACAGAAAAAAGGAAAGTCGCGGCTAAAAGTAAGTTTTATTAACAGTCGGTTTCATTCGCATGGGGATCGCTAATCACCAAAGGGCTCTTTCGATCAAGATCACCAGGAGCGGCGCAGGTGCACCATGAAGCAGTTTTTTCATTGTATGGCACATTTTCTTCTAAGTTATTGAGGGCGATGTGTATATCAGGGGGCGGAGGGCTGCATCGTTGAGAGCTTCTATCGTTCAGGCTGTTCGAGATGGCTTTCCGCTGCTCCGTGTTTGGATCCGGAGAGCGAGCGGGAGGTTGTGGATTTAGTCTGCTGGCCTCCATTCTAGCCCGAATGAGCTGACGTGAATTGATATTCAGGATTAAAAGGATGCTTTAGGGAAAATAACAGATAGAGAAAAGTCAGTTTCTGCAACGTAAGTCGTAACTTGACAAATTTTGAGGTGGTGACTGGTCTAGCTCACACGTTTGCAAGGACCGCCAGTGGATCATTCAAGCCCTTGTAAATGATAAAAAGAGGAAAGATGTGAGCATCTTATTTTTTCAGAAAGATACACATTAAAATGGCGGATTTACATGATAACTGATTTCACGCCTTGAGATATCCGACACGAAGTTATTCATATTGCGAGTCAGCTGAAACCACCAATTCGACAAAGCACGAGTTCCAATCAGTTTGGATATATTCTGTGCTCAGCACTCAGAAAGGGTGTGAGAACTCACCAGTATGATTAAGGGTGGCAGATGTAGCGCAGTGCTAGCGTATACGCAGAGGGCATGGCAAACGAGTCTTCGTCGATCACGATTGAGTTTTCTACGAAGAGGGTTTTTCTTGAGACGCTTTATTAAGCTTGGGGCAGCTTCTACATTTTCTGGTGGGGCCGATCCTTCGTATAAACCTCTGAAGGATATCCAGAGCAGTGGCACATAAATCTGTAAGGAAGGAAACTCTCTATCAAACTCAACTGCTAACTGAAATTGGGCAAGGGTTTGACCTACGACTACCAGTAAGCAAGTGTCTATGCAATAAATGAACAGGCCGCGGCGAAGATTCTTTGCTAATTCGACCTGAAATCACCAAATAAGTGATGTAGTCTACAGAGTCTCAACTAGAAGATATTGGAATCGATCACTGCTCACTCACTCGGAGCGGACCAAGTTTCTGGGCTGACTGGAGGAGACTCGACTCGCTTGATGCACTGAATCCTCTGAGCTTTTCAGAGTCATAAGCGTTCGCCTCCTCGCGCAGCGTGGAAGTTAAATCATTGATAATTGATTCCATCTCACGTAAGTTCTTGTACGCTGGGATGTAAGAAGTCAATGACATGAATGCTACATTGAGAGGTCTCAAATATCAGCGGATGACCTTTCTTACTCATTTCGGTATGCTCATTGCAGCAGATAGGATGAAGAAATTCGACTCACGCAACGGTAGCAAAGCAACACACGCAAAGAAGCCATTGTAAACCCATTTAATGACGCTTTGTAACTTGTCTCTGTTCATATTAAAAGCTAAATTTGAGTTCCAAAAGATCATAGCGCACTGGCATGCGCAAAAAGACAAAAACGCTTTGTCAACGAAATGGCCGTATCAGTTCAATCTCCCTTCAAACTATAATGCTGTATGCTGTCAAGTGGTGCTCACCCCTGGGCAAAGGTTTATCCAAATGTAAGTGGTACATCCCTTGACATTGAATGATGAACAATTACTCGACTTACCAAGATCCAA